TGGGGTTTAACTTAGATGCTACTGACTATTTTGAAAATAAATCATTGGATATTTAATTTAATTAAGAGTGTGGTTTTATTCTTTTAGAATTTCTTTCTATTTTCAATATAAGAGATGCTTGGTAGAAGATGTATGTTTAGAGCCCACTATAGACGGTGTGATTCATTGTATATAACATATTTGTTGTTTCTATTGCTTTGTTTTTCTTGAGCTAAATGATGAAGTTGGATAATGTTATGAGCTAATTGTTGGGATTTTCGATATCATGTTGCGTAATTAATTCAAGAAATGTGGATGATTTTGCTTTAGTTCATTGAAGTCGAGTTTAAATGATGAAGATTGGTTTTGTTTGCGATTTATTTCTCTTTGGTTTCAACTTATTTTTACATTGAATTATGGAGCCTTTTTATGAATTGTGTTTTCTATTTTTTAATTTTGATAACATAGATATTTTATGTGGTTTTATATGAATTTTTTTTCCTTCTAAATTAGTGCTTTTGGGGTTCATCAAATGACAATTGAAAATAGAAAAAAAGGCTACATGGCTTCATCACAATGTAAGCATGATGAAATTATAATTCTATATTTAATTTTATGATAAGTATCCACTAATTATGTCATTCATTTGTAGACAATACTACAACACAACTCTAATGATTGTGGATACCATGTGATGAAAAATATGTTGAATATTATCTCTGTCAATATAACCGAGTCTTGGATGCAGGTAATAAAAAAAACTTTACTTTTTTATTTACTATGCGTTTAACAACTTTCAAAGAATTTTATGTATTGCAGGTGTTTGATGACCCAACAAAATTAACACAAGATGGTTTGTATGATTTGTGGCTCCGTTGGAAAAAATATTTCTGAGTTATATAAAAATTAAGCTTTATCTAGTGAGTTTTATATATATATATATATATATATATATATATATATATATATATATGATTTGAGTTTCTTGATTTTGGTGTTGTCTATTGATGTTAATTGGTGTTATTATTTATTGTCAGTAAATGTGATTTTGGTGTTGTCTACTGAAGCTACAACTCATCTTCTTGTGGATTACATGTTAGTATTTCAAGCGTGGGAAAGGACTTATAAATGGTTGGATATTTTGTATAATTTCACTGGTGTTGTTGTTGTAGTAGTCCACCGTGTGTAAACTTTCTTATAGTTTTGTACACTTGTGTGTATTCTAGATTAGTACTTTTATAAATCAATTGTTTATTTTGAAGATATATATGTGCATCCTAACTATTTGGTGCAATGAAATTATCCTTCACTGGTTAGAAAAATATGAAAATAGAGACCTAAATATGGTCTGTGTGATGTGGTAAAAATATGAAAAATAGCGGCCTAAATGTGGTATGTGTGATGTTGGAAAAATATGAAAATTAGGTACCCAAAAAATTACAGGGAATTCACCTCGATTCTGTTAAAAAAACAAACATATTACATCGGGCCATTGAGCCAACCGATGTTAAAACCAATATATTACATCGGGCCATTGAGACAACCGATGTTAAAACCCATATATTACATCGGGCCAGTTAGAAAACCAATGTAAAATATTTCATTTTTTTAAAGTGTATTTTTTTCACATCAGACCTAACATCCAACCGATGTGGTAGGTGGATTTTTCACATCGGGTTGTTGACAGATGTAAAATGTCTTTGATTTACTATATCGCTTGGATTTACATAAGACCTAGACCCAATATAAAATGTACTTTTTCGCCCGATGTAAAACGTCTTTCCTGCACTAGTGTGACTTTGAAACCATCTATTAATGCCATCAGTTGGAGACTCTAGAACTGAACGAGGGATGCCCTGTACATAACCATACTGGCGTAGACACCTCTCAGGCAAGTGTCTAGTCACATGGCTCTCCCATCTAATATGCCCTGAATATAAAGTAGATACCTCAAATGAACGATGAGGGCGATGAGACTTATATGGTGTCCAGACGACATCTTCAAGGTCAGAGCATCGAACCTCCTCCGATACTCCATCAAATCTCCTAGAATGGCTTGCTTGGCCTTCCATCTCCTCGCACATGGCTCAGATGCCTGGACACGGTGGATCTTCCGCTCATAGATGTGAGGAAAGTGCTCGTATATCCAACACTGCATAAATAAAAACCAACAAATAAATACACTCAAATAATTAATAAAAACCATCAAATAAATTATAGTATAACTGTAACAATAACCAACAAGTTTCTTGATCTCAGTACGAGAAGCAACGTCAAGTGTCGTGTAAAACATAGTCAAGGTCGCCTCTCCCCAAGCTCAACATGGAGTGTTAAATGCACTGAAGAGAGACAAATACTGAACATCAATATAAACTCCAGATTGTCCGCAAAGAGAGTACATGCCACTAGATGTAGCATGTATACCCTTACGGCAGCCTCGTACCTCTGTGCCTCCACGAGCTCCCCATACAACATCCTCAGCCAAGAAATCCGAAGGCGAAATCCCAGAGTCTCACCAAACTCATGTAGCACCTCCGTCTCAGAAACCTCTAAATCATCCATAACCACGCACACCGCCGTCGCGTGGTCCCTATAAACTGGTGTAAAAAATATACCAGTAATCGAAATGTGAAAGAGATTATCCACATCATCTAAAGTCACTGTCATCTCCTCAAATGGAAGATGAAAGGATGATGTCTCCGGATGCTACCTCTCAACAAAAGCTGATAAAAGGGAGGCGTCCAGCATGATCAAGGAGCAATCAACAAACTCCATGAGATGGAACTCTCTAATGATCCTTCTCACCTCCTCAGGCATGAGACTCTCAGGGAAATTCTTCAACTTCGAACCATGAGAAGCAACCTTTAACACCGGACACTCCTGTAAGAAGCAAAAAACAAATTATTATACATCAAATCTTGTAAACAAAAATAAAAATTATACAATTAAACAAAACCAAAAATATATATCTCGCCATTCCATATCCTATAAGCGACATGGTCCATAAATCGTGTTAGCATGGACCTATCTGAAGGTCCTCCAAGGAAACCTCCATCAGTGTGTATTGATGGCTCTATAGACGCACAAGTCGTGGTGTTTGTATCAGCGGAGGACACCTCATCAACTCGCTCAACAACAACCTCTTACTCAGCCTCCTGCACCACAGGCTCCACAATGTGATCCTCAACTATCGGCTCCATAATAAGAACATGAGCCTGTATCTCCTTAGTAGGAACATGTACCTCCTTAGTAAGAGCATGTTCCTCCTCTGTAGGAGTTTGTACCTCCTCAACAATGAATACTCTAAAACCCTGGCGGTGGGGTGCGCGGAACTGCAAATTCTGCTCAGCCATCTGTTTCCGGTGAGAACCAATCGGAGGAGGGCGTTCAACCCATAGCTCTGAAGTCAGCGCCTCATCATCCCGGGCTTTAGCATCCGCTCTATCAGTTTTCCATCTCGCAATAGAATCATCTCTACCTCTGGTCCTCACTGCAAAATAAGAAAATATTAGGAAAATATAAACTATCATAAATTTCTAAATTTCTGGTATTTTTCAAAATAAATTGAACTACCAGAAATTTCAAAATTTTCGGTATTATGTGACGTACCGGAAATTTAAATTTTTTTGGTATAAATGATAATTAAAAATACCGAATATTTAGAAATTTCTGGTACGAAAATACTATATATTTTGAAATTTTCGATACAAAATACAGGAAACTTCACAAATCTACTGTAAATTCTTACTTGTTCACGAAATTTCTGGTATCGACTTCAAAATTTCTGGTATCGCCCAAAAAATTGAAAAATCCGACTGGTCACGTAAATTTAGAATCTGTGGTGAATAATTTAGATATGGAAAAAAAAATTTCATATCATTTAGGGGTGTCATCTATAATGTAGGGGTGGCAAGTTAATTTCTCATTGGTCATCTGAGCCAAGTGTGCCCTTGAGAAGGACTTCATTGGTAGCCTAAGTTTGTACAAGACAAAACTTTGTGAAATTCAAAGAAAAAAGAATTGTCATGGGTGGTAGGGTTTAAGGAATGAAGTCTATGTCGAGCTTGTTATAGCAAATTGAGGCGTCGTGACCATATCTGTGACATACTTGAAAGTGACTTGAGCTACGACGACCACGACTACGACCACCACGTCCACGAGCACCATCGCCACCATAAGACTGAACATTAGGTTCAGAATTTTGCTCATGTATTTGATTGAGATTAGTTTAAGGTGCAATAGATGTGTTGGATGTTACAGTTGTAGATGTAGCTGCAATGTTCAGAGTGGCTAATGTTTGTTTACGAAAGTGATATATGCGTGTTTCATGGCAAAGAAGTAAGATCTCAACTTATTCAATGGAGGTTGAACCAAATTTGTCGTTGATTAAGGATATAACAGACTCAAATTCTTGAGATAAGCCTTCAAAAATGATATAGTATTCACTAGCAGAGATCGTTTCTCCAATTGCATTAATGGAGCAAATTAGGGAGTGGATTTTTCAGAAGAAAATTAAAAACACAGTTCTTGCAACTGTCCAGACGCGTATTGTGCACATTTGAACGAAGTTGGCTGAGCTTGGCGGGAGTGTGATGTTAAAAGTGTTGTGAACTTTATCCCAAAACATCTCAAGTCAATTACAAAAGGATTTAACTTGTCACTCTCAAATTGAACTTTAACACCCCTCAGTTTTTCTTGTCCCATAACATATCATATTTTCGATAGTTTATTCATAAATTTTCAATATGAATTTTAAAAAAAGTAAAAAAATGTATACTACTGAAACTTTCAAAATTTATCAGAGATTTCAAAAAAATATCATAGTTTACCAAAAATCGAAAAAAAATTCAGTTGTGCAAAAAAAATTCGAAAATAAACTATCAATTTTTTTGGAAAATTCTGAAAATTTCAAAAAAAAAATCTGACATTTTCTTAAAATTACCAGTAAAAGAGAAAATAAATTTCATAAAATTTTTATAAGGACATAAGAGTAATTACACTGTTGCACATTTCAATCTATATCAAAGCCATGCCAATAGAATTTGATCTTGTTCCCAAGCATCGCATTCAAGGGAGACACGATTTGTAGTGGCATCGACGCCCGAGTTAAACTTTGTAGGGATAATAGGATAATAGAATTTGAGTGTTTTAATTACTGGTTCTACTTGCCAACACCACAATAGGTAGTTTTCATAATCTAACTTCTCCTCGAAAATTGCAATGAATGAGTGTTTCTTGGTGGTAGGCGACGATTTAAGGCTGAGCAACAGTGTAGTGTGCACTGGAGCTACGTTCAAAGAGGCCATACGATCGATTCGAACTTTTGATGCCATATTAAAATTCCTAAAGATGTCGTTTCATGCAATTCTTAAATGCTAAAATATAGAGAGAATTATGAATTGATTGTTGAATTTCAACTTCTACTTTCTATTGAATAAATTCAAATAGTTGTTACAATAGGTGAAAGTCCTATTTATAAAGTCTAAGGAATAGGAGATTACTAAGTATAGTCGGTTTACTGACTTGACTTATATGTGTACAACTGAAACTTCCTAACTGCATCAGAATCTAGAATCTATTTAGAGGAATAAATCTGTGTGTGTACGGTCCTCTTGCAGTGAACCTTTCACTAATCTATTCTTTAATAAGTTGAATCATAGTAAATGAGTAAGTAGGTTGAGAGTTCACATAAATATTTTGGAACAAAAAAAACAAGAGGAAAAGCAATTAAATAACATTCACAGAAAGAGCCATTGACAGTAAAACAAAATGTCTAGCTGAAATAAACTATAGAAGGAAAACAATGTGAAATATTTGTAGTATTATGTCATCAATGAAGCTTTTATATAGAATACAACAATTCAAACAGTAAGTGTTCATGGATCCTTTGCCAATTCCCTGCTAAAAAACAGCCACTAGCTTCCTGCTCTGTTCTCCATCCAAGAAATCATGTAATAGAAATGGAAATTTTGAAAGCTTGTTTGAGTACAATAAAAGTAAGGAACTGAAAATTTGCAGGCTAAATGTAACCTTTCACTGCAATAAAATATGCATGTTACAGGTGCAACTATACATGTACATGATTTAGGCAAGAGGCCTGTGTATTTTCGATTCTGCTCTACTATTAAAAAAATAAATGTAAAAGCATACATTTATCTGAAACTCATAAGTTACAGCGAACAAAAATTGTCGACTTTAGTCAGACGACCCGGACTCGTTTTCTTTCATTTCCTTCTTCATAGGTGCCCTGCATACAAAAGAGAAAACAAAAGAATAATTATTTGATGAAGACAGCTTGAAGCATATCAGCACACAAGCCCAAGTCCACATGAAATAAAAGCATCAAGCAAAAATAGTACAGATTAAATAGGCACAGAAATTTGCAGTTTTTAATATTAACAAGTGTTCACTCAAACCAGAACATTGAAGATGGTGGGGAAAACAGGGTATTGCACTTGCATTTAATAAAAAATATGCAATTTACAATATAATGGGTTGATTATCCCTTGAAGACACAGAATTAAGGCACCAAAAGAACAATATGGCTGCAGAATTTGGGACCTCTATCTACTCCGAAAGCATACTTTACAAACGGGAAAGTGAAAACTTGACAGGTAAAGTTGGTAAGAATTTTAGTCACCCAGTATTGGTCTAAGGATCAAAAACCTTAGAGTGGAACAAAAACAAGACAGATGCCTTAGATAAGTAAGATATGAGAAACACATACCCCTTCGTCCATCACACAATCTTCAGACGGGGTGGTAGTAGATTCAGATCTGCATTTAGCATGGATAACGGGGCCTAACTGCGACCTGTCCATGCCCGCTGTTATTCCGTTAGGCGCATTAAGGTATACGGCTCCTCTATACATCCACTCCTCTGTTTCATCACTGTAAAACTCATCAAAAGGCTCTCCACATAATGCACATGTATTTTGGTCCTCTTCAGCAGGAACCGCCAACTCTTCATCTTCTTTCTTTTCCTCGGTGGTCTCGGTTGGCAAAAAACCTGGAGCTGATTCAGCTCCCAATGCCTCTGCACCACTAAGCCACATCGTCTCACTCACAAACCACTTGCGAGAGGGTTTTTGCTTACGGTTTTTAGACATACGGTTCTTAGTCACATGCCAATCCATGTGACTGCTGTGCTCATCTTGGGATTTAAAACGGAGGCCACAAGTTGTGCATTGTCTAGGAAGATCGCCATATAAGGCTTTGATTGCAGATTCATGACGGACCTTCAGAATATCTGGATCAAACTCAATTCCAACAACATCCTACAAAGATATAACTTAATTTAATTACAAAATTGGGTTACAATCAAATAAAAAATGGAAGAAAAATGGTAATACAAAAATTGAACTTAGGATAGGTTTAGTTACTTGTGCAGGGGCTTGATTAGCCAATGAGATTACACCTTGGGCCATGAGTGAATTAATCAAATTAGAATATCCAACAGTGGGCTGTTGACTTGAAGCAAAAGAACTAGGATTGGGATGATGTAACATCTGGGATGGAGGATGTGGACCGGCTGGAGGTAAAGGCCGCAACGGTCCTCCCTGGAATTGAAAAGAGTTGTTTGTGGTTCTTTGGCCAGGCAAAGGGAATGGCATAACAGGTCGTACATTTGACATGGGGGTACTTATAGCAGCACCATGTCCTTGCAAAGAGGGCCTATAACTAAATTGCGATGCTGCTGGATCCTGAGATGGAAAAAACTGTAACGGCGGTGTTTGTCCAGGGTTTTGCAGATTAGATGAAATCAGACCAGCGAGCTGATTAGGCAACTGATACGGGTTTCTTTTACTGATGTCATTGTTCTCAACACCAGGCAACGATTGTTCATGGATCGGAAAAGGTCTATTTGGACCATGACTCACAATGGCACTATTAGCATTTATTGATTCGAATGGGTTCCTAACAGGATTCTTCAATGGAAACATAGGATTTAAGCTGGGAGGACGAGGAGCATGCACATTTATAGAGTTCCTTATTTCAAAAGTTGCTGGCAAAACTGGTGGACGGTACTCCATATTAGACTTGAAACCAGGAAATATCCTTGACACTGAAGAAGTTGCACTTGCTGCAACGTTAACAGGCTTTTCTGAGGAGAAACCAATAGTTGGTTGCAGGAAACCATTGTTTCGACTATCCACTAATGTTGGACTCATATCTTCCCAATCAAACTCCTCCTCTTCCGTGTTCTGCCATGATGTTGTCAAAACCTTATCCATACCATTTCTATCCAGCCGCTCAACTAACAAAGGCTTACTGCCAGAAGTTTCTTGGCTTTTGTCACTACCATAGGCATCAATTAGAGCTCTTGGATTTTGGCGAGGTTGTCCGTTACTAAGACTGTATGTCATAGAAGCTGGAAATCTCTTCGGACCATCACCAGTAAACTGCTTTCGCGGCCACTCACGCAACTCTTCTTCTCTACCTAATCCTTTAATTAGTCCATAATCAACAGCACGATGAGGAGATTCTCTCTCAACTGTCCTGCCAGCAGAATGGTCAACTACATATTCATCAATATATGAGGGCATATGCCTATCATGTCCAATTCCTGACGGTGAAGAGGATTTGCCAACCCTACTTGGCACAAATTGTTGAACCTTATTAGCTGCAAGGCCAAAATTTGCATTTCCTACAGTTCCTGGTGAACCTAACCTTTCACCCACAACCTGACAGGATGAAACCAACACAATGTCAGAATGTATCCTATAGTAGTTTGCAGGATCTCTCTGTTGCCAGAGAACACTAACAGATACAACAGAATTGCTTTCTCATACGACAAAGTGCTAATTGGATATAAGGAAATAGAAGCATGTAATACGTCATCCATGACGTTCACTGCCTCAGCGGAAATTACAAATATTTAAATACAGAAGATTTTACAAACAAATTGCTGAGTGAAATCCGGAGTATCTGTACAAAGTTAAGATATTTTCCACAAAAAGCCACATTCGGTTCTGATTACATGTAACCAGTTTCTTTTTTTCTTTCTGAATACATGCAAATTAAACATCCTTATTAAATATGAAAGTAAATGAGACACGGTCCATCCACAATAGTTTATAAGTACATATTTGAAAATAAAACTTACACTATCCATAATTGAAGTAGAATGTTCCATTTGTCTTATGTATTTTGGGTTAACATGTATCCCATGAGTTGGCCGAGGAGATTCAGAAGCCCTGAGGGGATTAACACTTGATGGTTGATTATTAACTGCTGAAGAAAATTGCAATTGCACTTCAATCTTCCGTAAGACAGAGGGAGGGAAAACTTTTGACCAGGTACTAAAGAGATGTCGCATGGCAGAATGCAAACTTGGATTAACCTGTCTGTATGCCTCGCAGAAAACCTTGGGAGACAAAAGAACTACAAGTGTTAATAACAGAATTAAATCATACAGGAATTCAAATTATAATATAAGTTGAATTGACTTACTTCGGGTAGACGTAACGAGAAGTATCGAACATATTCCTGGCCAACATTCTTCACAACACTGTCCAAGAGATAGAGTGAAGGAAGCTTATGATCTGCAGACACCTGGAAAAAGATAGCTTCAAAAAATTGTAGAACCATACAAACAGCAAAGATTCGAATAATAGAAATACTTATACTGCACACTATCAACTAAATTACAAATGAAATATAATAAAGAAAAAGGGGTTATTCTCCTTGCACCAAATTTAATAGCACTGTCAGTTACAACATTTTGCGTGGAGTGTTATGTTTTTTGAACTTTTACTATGTTTTTTGAACTTTTACTAAAATGCTTTAATTCGCAATTATTTACCAAATTCTTTAAACAATTCTTACAAAGTTCCAATTTTCAGAAGAGAGACTAGAAACTATTGATCTCTAAAATGAAATTGACACGGGGTAGGTTAAGAACCGATACTTTAGTAAAAGTCCCTGTATCATTTTTCCATCGAAGAATCAAACTTGAGATTTCCCATTGAAATCAGCAAACAATGCCGTGTAAATTTATCTAAGAAGAGGCATAAGTATCATAATTAAACAATTTTAAATTATTCCGCCTTTGAGATCTCCAATACCGACAAAGATAAAGTAAGCATATGAGCAAGTTACTTTGAATGCAAATGATGAAGAAACATTATTTCCAAGGAAATACTAAAAGTGTGTGGCGTAGTAAGATAATTGAAAATTAGCAATATAGGTATTGATAAAAAATGATAGAAAGTGGTGAGGAGCCTTGGGATAGAACATGAAACTGTTATGAATAAGTTATGGTATTCTGAATTGCCCAAGTGATGAAATCTATACACAGAATCAAGACATATAATAATAGATAGAATTCTCCTAAACTGATCTAACTGTAAGTAAGTTGACACCAACAACCCAACATATATAATCTTCGCAAATATACTACATTGTAAATAGTGCTACAAAATGACATAGATATGCAATTTACGTAAAATAAGCATATGCTAATGTGCCAAAATCATTCATCTTAATCAAGAATTTGTTAAACATTCAATTGAAGCCTTGCTCATTGATCAGTCATTTCAATACAACGACCAAGCTTAAACATAAGGAAGTAACTCATCACAAACACACGCAAAAAATCAGAGATGAAAAGCCGTGGAGATTTAGAATACAGTATTACAACTAGAGCAGATAACAGGCCTGGTTAAATCCCTTAATTAAATAATATTATAGTATTTCCAACGTTGTCAAATTGTCACCAAACAGCAGCATGACGATATGACATGATGAATTTTGCGCCGGCCACATTCAGATAGTTTATTATATCAACCATAGACCATAAACCTCATTATTATTATTATACACAAAGTTTCGGGCTGGCTTCCATAATCCGCCATCCGCATTCAATAACACCCGAGTATTTCACTTTTGTAGGTTCTTAAATTCATTTTTAAGTGCTCAAATGTGTTGGAGTATACTTACTTGATCTCTTAACTTTAATCAATTAAGCCCTTTGTTATTGAAATGCCCATAAGCTACTAATTGTTTTAACATGATTACAATTACATCAAAATTACTCCTTTAAATTTCCAATTCCCAGATATTTAAACGATTAATTGATCAAGAAAATTATCAGAATTGTGAAACCGAATGAAAACAAAAATCGAAACTTTCTCCTATCGCCGCAATAAACTTAAGCTGGTAAAATTAAAAAATAAATAAACAAAAATCGAACGAGAAAAAAGACAACAATTGAAGTAGCGAGAATCGAAACAACAACGATAGCTTTTGATCGGAACAATGGTGTTGATTTTTACAAGAGTGTAAAAAGGAAAAAAATTGAAACCTCGAGAATACGAGCGCAAATAGCATAAGCGATTCCTCTAGCATGTTCCCTATGTTGTTCAGCAATGATGGTAAGATCAGTGATGATAGGTTTCACATTCGACGTGAGTTCACCCAACAAAGCCTCGTAAATCTGCACAATTTCTTCCGTTGAAGGTTGCGAATTTCTCAGCCTTGGGTCATCTTCACGTTGCTTCAACAAAGCCTTGAATCGACCAACGAGAATCGACGGTGGGGGTTTCTGTCCATTCTCATTGCTCATGTTGCGGAGGGAAGCTATCAAGGATGCAATTTTAGGGTTAGGGTTTTGGATTTGGGCGAAATTGAAACATGGGGAATTTGATTTTGAAAGTAGCGGTTTTGGGTTTGAATCGGTTTGTGAGAGTAGTTGGTTCTCACGAATTCTGAATTGGGGTTTCAACAAACGAAACACAAACCCTGCATGTGCTTGTGGATTTGGGACTGATGAAGTAGATTTATAGATTTTTCTTGTTACAAAATCTTCTTGAGGGGTCTTTTTTTCATTCTAAGAATTAAATTAATATTGCATATCAAAAATAAAAAAATAAAAAATTACTGTATAGAATTAATACTGCATATCAAAAAGTAAATAAGATATTATTGATATATAAGGTACTCACGAAAGGTTAGTGGGGTGTTGATTATTCTTATTTTTTATTGGAATTTGAATGAATCGAAAAGTATGAAATTAAAGTTGTTGAGGTGGTTTAGAGTTTTTAATGTGGTGGAGAGAGGTTGTGTGGTAAGATTAATATTTTAACTTTTAAGTTTATGTAAAAGTAAAATGTGAAGTGTGAATGAGAAATAATTTGAATATATGTGAAGCGACTGACTTTTCTCTTTAAATAGGAGAAATGGTTGGTAACTGCACGTGTGTGGGATAAGATCGGTCGTTAGATTGATCTGGACGGATGGCGGGATACTCTCGGAGATGATTGTATGTCAGGTAGAAGAAAAGAGTCTCGCGCCAAATGTTGTGTTGCATTGTTATTGGGCCTTCATCTCTTTGGGCCTTTGTGGACGGTCGGAACAGTTGTCCCCAAGCTCTTGATTCTACTTTGTAGGAGTAGGCTTTGTAACACATACATGTCGTCCACAGAATTCCTGGATGTGGAAGTTCTAGATGGGATGTTGTGGTTTTGGGGAATAGGTGCATCAAATGCCTCTCTTGTAAGACGTAACATGATGATGAGAATGTCTAGCACATCTCTAGACGATAATCAGTAATGATGTGTCTCCTACTTTAGAGTACTCATGTGCTTTTTAAATCGCTTTTGAGGATATGTCAATTGTTGGTAGTGCACGGGTGTTCGTACGATCCTCAATGCTCGAGTAGGGTATAAAGGGCTTTCGGAGCGTCATTTTACCTTTTCTTTCGTTATCGACTTGCAAAAGAGAATATTTCTGCTTCTTTTGTTGTTCTTCTCTGGAGCTTTCTTGTTTAAGTGTTGGATCAAGTTCAAACGACTTTATTTGTTGGCATTGGTCTTGCACGTCTGCTTGTTGTTTCTTCTGAATTCCAAAGTTCAATGTTCTTCTTTTACTCTCGTTGCCCTTGCATGTTTCATTTTCTTTCACGATATATTTTAATCATAGTGATCATTGTAAGAACAAGATTTGGTTATGCATCTGGGATTTAGTTTTGATGATAACAATATATTGTTTCTTATAGAGTAATTTTGTACCTTAATGGTTTTGTCTAGTGTGTAACTTTTACTAACAGGTTCTGACTCTGAAGAAGTGGTGTGTGACGTTATCAATTTTTGAACTCGACACACTCTGACTCTAAAGTGATACAGAGAATGCTTTACAATGATTTAGTCAAGTTCTGGAACGCTCCTAAACAACAATTTTGAATAACGTTTGTCTAATAGCTTCTGACTGTGACTCTGATTGAAGAGCTTCTGAAGATTGTCAAGCTCTGAAGATTCCATGTTCTCAAGTTATGAGGTTTTGAAGACCAAGTTCTGAAGACTCTCATTCTGATTTTGATCCTTCTAAGCATGCTTCATCAACACGTATTCTGAAGCCTCTGAAGATTAGAAGATAAGATCAAAAAGGTTTTACGTGAGTGAATAGTACATGGTACAGATTAAATATTCCTTCCACTATACTGATTTTGTGGCACATGGACTATACTATGGTACCATTTGTCTACCACTCTCATTGCTATTATGCAAGAATACAACTGGAAATTTTGGAATTCTTATTCTACCCTCCAATGGATCTTTCTATGCCTATATAAAGAAGCCTTGGAAAATTGGAAGAAAAACTTTTTCACATGAACTTTTGCTAAGAGAACTTGAACGAAAATATTTCATCTTTGTAAGACGTTGTAAAGCAAAGAACTTTTGTGCATATACTTGCTCAAAAAAAACTTTTGTGTTAATCATTGTATTTCATTTATGTAATCTGCTTTCATAGAAGCATCTTTGTAAACACGCCTTTTGTATCTCAACTTTTGAGTTGATTATTCCTTGAGAAATTAAGGTATAGTCAAAAGTCTCAAGAAGACATTGACAGTAAGTCTTTGTGGTTGTAATCAAGTTTGATTGCATCTATCAATGGAAATAAGTATGGGTTAGTTATTGTTGATGATTACATCAGATGGACTTAGGTTAAATTCCTTAGATCAAAAGATAAATCATATGGTGTATTCAGCATCTTCTGCACACAAGTATAGTCTGAAAAGGAATTAAAAATTCTAAAAGTCAGAAGTGTGTTAGCTGGGAATTTCGATTATATAAGTTTTAAGGCTTTTTGATCGAAGAAAGAGTTGTTCGGGGGAAAGTATAAGAAGGTTTTTATGGAATCTTCAAATGATGAAGAGCTAGTAAAGATTTTTACTACATTGAACCATTATCGAAGGGTTCGGCTTCGAACTATAGAAATATAAATTATTCGAAACATTACAAAGAAAGATATTTCGACTGTCATGTTGTTTGAATTGGCGCTTCAAAAAGAAGAAGATTTTGAATTCAAAAGCTTCGATCTTATCCAAAGAGACACGTGGAAGTCTAATAGTTCGAAAGACATGCAATCTTCGAACGTGGCGTGTTTTTGTAGAAGGACCGTTAGGGTCAAATCAGTATAAATAGAAGTCTTATATGTTAGAAAAATGGGTGTTCGAATTGTATACAAAATCACATTATACTCAAAGTACCGAAGCGAGAGAAATGAGTTTGTTGATAATGTATGTGTAAGAACACCACAAGTTTTATTCATAATTAATTTCTCAGTACAAAGTCTTTAATCACTTTTATTTATTTTCCGTTTCCAGTCTAGTCTTTTAACAATTTTATTAAACTTTTCTTATTAAGCATTGTCTTTATATTTTCACAAATTCCTAGATTATTCCCTTTAAAGTCATATTTAAGATTCATAGTCAAACTTTAAACATCTTGAGATCATTGTAACCATAGAAAAACCTTGTTATTATCCATACAATATTTTCTTTCGAATCAGACTATAAGAACACTAAGACTATGTCCTAGGATCAATCTAGTCGATCCTGTAAGTTACCAAAGCATAAGATTTGGAAGACTAGTGGTTATTTGTCAGAAATCACCGGTAAACAAATTAGCACGCCCAGTGGGACCGTGTCAAAGTATTTTAGTCACATTGTTTATATTCTTTCGATTTGGGTCTTTATAGCAGTTTCTGTTACAAACTTATTCTTGCCCAGTATATGAACCTTAAGAGTGGTAAGATAACCAACAACAAACAACCAATACCCAAAAGAAAATAAACCAGAAAGATGGTTAATACTTCCAATGATGGAGAGCAAAATTCTCCACAAGGATCAAGCACAAGCATTGCAAGTTCGACGAATACGTCAATTGTGATTCATGGTTCACAAGCCATGTTCACATCTATAGGATCCATGGCTACAAATAGTTCGATACCTGGGTCCATAGGGGCCATACCCACGAACAATTCGACAACCATGCTTATCTCTGCAAATACGACAGAGATCCCTTCGAACACTCAAACTGGCCATGTGTTGACATATGTGGGAAACCAGACTCAACTTGCAACCCCTAGACCACCAGGATTTGTAAATTTTAGGACTTGGAGGGAGCAACCCTAATACGGGATGCCAAATTCCCTTATGTCAGGATTACACAATAATATAACCACACATACACAGCCTACCACGGCAACCTTTTCGCTAGTGCAAAACTCTGGTTCTAGCATGAACCATGTGGGTCAAAATACGCAGAACCGAGGATTGTCAAACCAAATGCATATACTCACAACTGACACTCAGGCAACATTTAAGCAACAAATGGACGCTAGTAACCATGACATGGTATGAGTTCTTGCACGTGAAATGAATACCATTTTATCTCCTTTGATCCAGAATATTAATAGGACAAACCAAGAAAATACCCAATCCTATCAGCAAATGTCAGCGCAGATGGCGCGCATAGCAAACTTTTTTGGAGCCACACAAGCACATGTTCGACATAGGCAGAATCAGGTGGCAATTCAAGAGGAAGAACCCACTATCAATCAGGTTTGACCATCCAGACAAGAGGTTGGCGAAAGGGATATGGGGGCAAGGGTAAAATGACGAGAAATTCAAAATGAGATCCCTGAGCAACCTAGAAGAATAAAAATGGTTAACAGGGATCAAAATGCAGAAGAAGTGATCCACAAAGTTAGGCAGGATAATATAGTGGCTGAAAATAATTTAACCACCACGATAGAAAGAATCATGGCCCAAAATGGCCTGAATGCAGGGTTTCGACGACCAAATTACACATCTCCATTAACAGATTTTATTTTGCAGGCAGAATTACCAAGGGGTTGTAAAGTCCCCAAATTCACAAAATTCTCAGGAGCTACTAACGAATTAACTGTCGAACATGTGGCCAGGTATCTGATAGAAGCAGGGGACTTGGCAAATAATGAAAACTTAAGGATAAAATATTTTCCTAGTTCATTAACAAAAAATGCTTTTACATGGTTCACTACATTACCGCCAAATTCTATAGATACATGGTCTCATTTAAAAAGATTGTTCCATGAACAATTCTACATGGGGAAAACTAAAATAAGTCTGAAGGAATTAGCCAGCATTAAAAGAAAGTTTATTGAACCTATAGATGACTATTTAAATAGGTTCCGTTTGTTGAAATCTAGATGTTTCACAATAATGCTTGAACATGAATTGGTCGAAATGGTCGCTGGTGGATTAGATTATTCCATTTGAAAGAAACTAGATACTCAGTATCT